ATATGACAAATGAAGAAAGCAAATATGTTTATTCAGTCTTTTGCTTTAAAATCATTAACATAATTTTAGCAGCAATTAAAAAATTGTCAATTATTCAGTACGAACATTTCATCGGCAGTTAATGAGAAAAATGTCCTTGCTTTATCTTCTTGTTCGTTACAATCGGGAACAAATGGAAACAGCAACCAACGTTTATCAGATCAGTAAACTCTTGAGGAGGCACAGTGGAATAAGATTGAGGAATGGGAGAGCCGAGTTCGAATTCCAGTCGAATCCATTACATTTATTTACGTGCTAATACCCTTGGGAAAGGTATGAATCCTCTTTCTTCTTCACCCCTCCCATGGATAACTAGCAGGACAGATCGAGTTCTATAGCCTTGGATAGCAACTGGTCTACAGCAGAAAGAAATGGCAAACTACTGTGAGGCAAAAAAAAAGCTGCCTCGTCAGTCATATATCGGAAGATACATGATCGCTTAAGAATGTATCACGCATGGCACATAACTGACTGGTAACTCTTGTAACGGAGCCCTACAAATCTAAATCTTTTTCAGGGCGTGTTTTATCATGGCTCTCCACAATTTCCTGTCTTTTGTTGTACTAAATAACTTTTTTACCCTTTACCATCCCTCTTTGTCACTTTTTGTAACTTTCTCGTTGCTCACATATTAAGAATGTATCACGCATGGCACATAACTGACTGGTATCTCTTGTAACGGAGCCCTACAAATCTAAATCTTTTTCAGGGCGTGTTTTATCTTTTGTTGTACTAAACTTTTTTACCCTCCACAATTTCTTCTTTTTGTCTTTTTTGTTGTACTAAATAACTTTTTTTTAACGGGAGCCTTTACCATCCCTCTTTGTCACTAAATAACTTTTTTTTACCATCCTCTTTTCTTTTAAACTTTTTCTCGTTGCTCACATATTCTGTCCATGGGATTCTTATCATTTGGCAGTAGAACCACATCACTGTCGCTTCAGATTTTTCTCCTGCGAAGAAATTGTCCAGCATTCACTGCTACAAAGAAGACTGGATATTACAAAACTCTTTGTTTCTAACGATATTTTCCTGTCTTAATATTTTGCTTAGATTCTGGAAGGTATTTTTTGCTATTCCTTCGCCTTTAGATTTCTGTATTACATTTCTTACCGCATGCTACCAACACAACCCATTATGTAGCTTATGCGTTCGCCCTTCTCTTTTGCTGACGACAATGCATTATGCTTTCTTACAGATAATAGCTTTTCTTAACCGTTTCTTCTTACTTTTCATTACTATCTTTTCTCAGACTTCTTTCCGTTTCTTTTCTGAGTCTGCCATCAACACAGTGATCTGCGTATTTTACTTTGTTAAGATAATAAATCTTGGTAGGTCTTTTAGCGAATCAGATATAAAAGACTTGGTTTCAGGTTTGGATGTCTAAACGCGGTAATCAATTCAATATTTAATAAGTTTATCTTGGTACGAACCAAGTTAAGACGGGAGAAATAAGGGAAAAAAAAAGATTGTGGCACGCGAGTTTTCCAAGTAGTGAGGACCTATCGGGAAAAATCAGCTTTGAAATCCTGATTTTTACCTGACCTCGAACACCAACCGCTTGAAAAAGATGTATTGTGCTTAACTTAACAAAGTGTCACAGTAACGGAGCACTTTATGTTGGTCAAACTCTTTACACCAATAAAGGTCTAATAAGACAATCAATGCGTAGCCTAATGATGAAAAAAACATTTATTTTGCACAACAAATATGTTTATAAATATGACGGCTTTCCCTGAGATTGTACTTATTGCAATTGTCACATACACCGAACATTATGCAGTGAAAGTTTCAGATCAAAATTCAGCTAATAATTCTGTTAGGCTACAGATTTGTTGATCCCACCTCGGTACTGATTGATTTTTTTTAAGTCCTATTAACCTGTTATAGGTTAACGAACTGTCTCAGGTGAATCAATAAAATCTGTCGAATCCTTTAAGTACCTCGGAAACGAGATAAATTCCACTGAAAAAGATGTGAAAATTCGCGTAAATAAAGCCTGGATCACCTTGAATAAAATGGATGTAATCTGGAAATCTGATCTAAAAGACCACCTCAAACGGAGATTCTTTCGAGCCACTGTAGATGCGGTGTTAATGTATGGTGCCATTTCTTGGACATTAACTAAAACTCTAAAGTCTAAGCTTGATAGAACCTACACTCGAATGTTGAGAATATACTTAACATCACTTGGAGACAACATCCAACTATGGCTCCATCCCTGATATTTCTACAATCTCACACGAATGCAGAATGCGCTTTGCAAGACATTGCTGGCAATCAAAGCAAGAACCTTCGAGTGGTCTACTGCTCTGGACACATAGCCTTGGCGCAAGAGGTGCTGGTCGCCCAGTCATCACAGATATTGACCAGCTATGCTATGACACAGAATGCCACCCTAATGACCTTCCAACCTTGATGCAGGATTATGATGGTTGGCGTGATAGATTCATGAATATCAGAGCTAACTCGACCGAATAAAATAATAAAGCAGCATATTGTTGGATTTTAAGAATAACTTTTTGCGATTTAATATTGTATTAACAATTTTTGCAGATAATAATCATTTTCAGATACAGGCCCTACTATTTAATCCATAACTGGAGAAGAAGAGGGAGATTCATATCTTTCCGAAAGGTAAATACAATAATTGAAAACAAACGAACCTGACTGGAATTCGAACACGGCTCTCCAATTTTTCATTCTAAGCCGTTATCCACTAGCCCACCCGCACATTCATGCTTACAGCATCTAGTAATTCCCAAGCGGTTACCCACCAATGTACTGACCAGGCTCAACGTTGCTTAGCTCCGACTCCCCCATTTCGTTAGAGATGTACAAGCTTGTACACTGGCTGATGTAGAGCAAATAATTTTCACCTGCTTTCACTGAAGTCAGGATATGCTCCCGTATAAATACGTGTAAACACATTGCTTCGTTCATATGTAGAAGCCAAAGAGGTGGGTAGTTTCATTGAGGTCGTTTCAGTGGGTAAACCTTTGAGATGCGTGGTGACAAGTTCTGTTGAAATAATAAAAGCAACGAAATATCAGAAAACTCGGAATTAACTCTTTGTTAATCTGCTGAAGGCATCGACGTAATTCTCGGCAACTGAGAGGATTGACATTGCATGAGCGATCTCGGAATATTCCCGATAGCAGCTAATCCCCCAGTCCAAAAACTGCTCATCTGGAAAACACCGCCCAAGTCAAAAAGTTGCAGATTTTTAAATCCGTACAGACGGACAGACAGACAGAGATGCTCATGCGCACATAGACACATGCGCATAACAGGCGGGTAGACGTAGAGACATGCGCACATAAAAACAGACAAGCTAAAGATGCAAACCATAAGAACAGACCCATATACATTCATATACGGATACACAGAAGCACTATAATGAAACAGTGAGAAAAGCGTACACACATATGCACACACAACGCCCTCATGAGAAAACAGTTCTGGATAAAAAAAAATGAATTAATGAAAAACAAATAAGCAAATAATAGAATCCTATATAAGCCGATCTTTTGCGAAGTCTCTATATTTCCTCCCCAGCGCCCCCTCATTATATCCAATAACTGTTTTCTTCTTCTTCTTCTTCTTCTTCTTCTTCTTCTTCTTCTTCTTCTTCTTCTTCTTCTTCTTCTCTCGTCTATAATTTTCTTATATCTTTCTCCATTTTTTATTTTTTTCTCTTTATTTGATAATTTCATCGACATATATCTACTCTTTTTCTTCACTCCATTTCTTCATGTCCATTCTTCACGTCTCCCTTTTATTCACTTTCCTCTTCTTCTTCTTCTTCTTCTTCTTCTTCTTCTTCTTCTTCTTCTTCTTCTTCTTCTTTGTCTTCTTTTCTTTTTCTCTCCCCTCTCGTCTCTTCGTCTTCAAATTTGTCATCCTTTTCTTTTTTTCTTTCTACTTCTTCGTCGTTCTTTTCTGTTTCCTACTTGATCTTGCCTCTTCTTTTCTTCTTCTTCTTCTTCTTCTTCTTCAATAATAATAATAATAATAATAATAATAATAATAATAATAATAGAAAAGATATCACTTGGTTCGTAATAGATGCCATTGGACAAAATACACTGAAATTTTTTTTATTGTTTCGTAATTTTTCTTACTTTTATTTATTTTTAAGGGTTGGCCATGTTTTAAATATACATACTTTTTGGTGTATACATGTTCTTTTTTTTTTTTAATTTAACTCCATTGTTTTCTTGTTTATTTAAATTTCTTCATTTATTTTCGCTTCTGTTTTTTTTTTTTTTTTTCCCCGGCAGATTTACGGTATACATCTGGGAGATAATAAACGATTTGTTTCAAGCTGGTTTGGTACGACTTGAGCTCTATGAACACAAAAGACTTAACCAAAATAAGGCAACGTTCAAAGAATTAACGAATTTAAAAGAATACGCAGATAAAATAAAAGAACACACACACACACACACTTATTCCTCTCTCACAGAACAAAATCCATAATAATAATGATGACGACCATGTTCATTATTTAAACAGTAATAACCAAAATGCTGATCATTATTTGTTTCGATTTATATTTCTCAAGTCCGCTTAATGTATTGATGTATAAAGATAATTATATGGCTGAAAGATACAACAGTGTGTCACCATGTAAAGATATTTGTATGCGTACATTTCAGTCTGTGGGAGCATTCGTTATTTGTATTTCTGCATATGCAAATAATGCATAATATTGAAATATGAATAAATATATAAATGTGTGTGTGTCTGTGTGTATGTGCGCGCGCGCACTGTAAGTAAATTTTAAATAATTTTGAGTAAGTAATGTCCGAATGTAGGGTTAGGAAAATAATTAAAATTAATATCTAATTAAAATTTATTCATCATATACTTTCCTTTGCATATCTGTTGCGCCGTGTCATTACCACAGATAAATAATTGACAATTCCGTTTTCATTGCGAAGATACGCTGTCTGGCTTTAGTGAGAAAAAGAAAGCATATATAATAATAAGAAGAAGAAGAAAAAAGAAAGAAAGAAACAGATCAAGAGGGAATCATAGACACAGATAGATAGATAGATAGATAGATAGATAGATAGATAGATAGATAGATCAGCATGTAAAGAGAAAGAGAGAAATTTGAAATTGGGATAGTTATATTTTAGAATTCTTCAGTTGTTTCCGTTGCTGTCATGCCCTGAAAATGCCTATATTTTACAAGTATATAAATGTATTTTCAGTAAGTATGAGATATGATAAAATTTCCTATATACATGCAATGACAAAATAAGAATAGAAATGCCAACATTTATAGCCTTCTCACTCAACACAAGTGCACAAAAGAGAGAGAGAGAGAGAGAGATAGTGTGTGTGTGTGTGTGTGTGTGTGTGTGTGTGTGTGTGTGTGTGTGTGTGTGTGTGTGAACGTAAGCAAGTAGCGTATTTTCAAACCAATAAAATTTCTTACTACACACGAGTTTGAATATATCTCTGTTTATTTATAAGAATTGAAATTTACGTCTACCGGCCAAGAGTATCAAAATTTTTCCGAGAAGTACATTTTTTTAATAGATGATCTAACTAGTAGGCTTTAATTTCACTGTTTGTAAACGAAAAGGGATGTCCAAGTAAAAAACAGCTACCCACTAAAATAATGGTAACTGCTATAAGATACACACACACTCATAAACGTAGACATACACATACAGACACACACACACATAAATATGTTACTGTAAATGTTATTTTTAGTGGATGCGTGTATTTCTAAACAGTATTTATTTCGTCTAGCAGCCTGAACACTGGTAAAAAAAAAAATATTAAAGGAATTCCTGCAGAATACGAACGAGTGACCCTCTTTCCAGGAGAAACCACCGTCTGATCCGGCATGTTTTATTTAACAGGACAAAAAATAATGTTTGAAGCAATATATATATATATATATTTGTGTGTGTGTGTGTGTGTGTGTGTGTGTGTGTGTGTGTGTGTGTGATGTGATATGTGATGCTGAAAATGCCCAAGCTCAACACGATGCCTTCCCACCAAAATTCTTATGCCTGATCAGATTTTGAGAGCTGTATTAAACCGAGAACTTTTCAGTAACCCATCATAGATAGATAGATAGATAGATAGATAGATAGATAGATAGATAGATAGATGTTCAGCTGGCTTATCTTCCCTTTTGAGGTTACGCAAAGACACCGTTCTGCGCTTCCACATATATATATATATATGTGTGTGTGTGTGTGTGTGTGTGTGTGTGTGTGCGTGTTTGAGAGGGAGGAGAGAGTGTGTGTTTTCAAATCTACGGAGCCGATTATCGTAGGGGCTCGAATTCAAATCTGGTAATCTCCTAAGTCGCCGTATTAGACAGATGTTTAGCCTTTCCAAAGATGAACTGAAAAATCATCGTATACTAGAACAATCTATAATGACATAAACACATATAATTACATACACACGGACAGTAGATTTAAAGCGAAACACATACATTTGTAACTTGCCACACAGCCCTAGTAAGCAAGCTATTCACAGCCATGATAGAACCTCTTTCTCCCGCATCCCTTACACACACACACACACACACACACACACACATATATATATATATATATATATATATATATATTAACAATTATTTGATGGTGATACCTATGGAATTACGCTTATCACTTTTATAAAAAGGAAATCGAGAAAAAGAATTAGCGTGATGTACTTGGCATGTTCCTTAACCGACTGGCTGTCTATGTCGACAAGTCGTCAATATTTACCCGGACCGTTTGCGACAATGGTCGTATTTTGGCGCTGTCTCCACCCGAACGGGCGATTAGCAAACTGTCATGGATAATGTTTCATGGCGAGCGACCGACAGCGAGCGAATTGATTGTCTGGCAAACGGGGCGGACAAACAGAGCGACTAATTTCGCTGAACACAACATGCACCAACATAACGTACGGCTGGGGGGCGCCATGTTGGGTAGGTTTTACAAGATGGTCGATGTTTCCCCGACACTCGTTACTGGCGGCGACATCTTTTGTCTGGGTCACAGTTTTCACCGGTTAGATAAACAAGTCGGCAGAATGGCCGTGGTTTTGTCCGGTATTGTTCTTGAGACTGCATCGCGTTAGACCCGTTTAACGGCGCCCGTAGTGTTTGTGAAGCCACTGTCGAGTTGAGACGTGGCCAGCCGCTGTCGATGTCTACAGGATTTTGAGATACCCCGTGTAGGTGAATGTGGGAGTAATAAGGAGTGGGTATTACCGATGGGTGGTTTGAACATTTACTTAGTGGAAGTTTGTGCCAGGTGTTTACATTCTATAGCACTAAATTGAAAATGACCCAATTGTTATAAATCAGCATTTTAAAAAAAAGGTTACGGATAAGACTTCCAGGTTTGATTCATAGCGAAACGGTTACCCTTCCAATAAATATCGATTTTATATTGATTCAATACAGCCACCCTTTAATACTGCAAGAGGTCATAAAGAAATTACGATGGGGTTACACTCCAATTGGCTTACCGTAAGCCAGCGGTTCTCAAACGATACAGGGAGCCTTATAGATGCCGTGTATTAGAATAGGAGGTGAGGTTTGAAAGACAATCAAAGATTGAGAAGCAGTTTCAAAAAATTCATATGCCCAAAAAATATGATTTCAAAATTTAAAATTTTCTTATGATTACTTGAAGTTGCATGCATGAACCCCAGTATAAATAGTTATAAATAATTATTGAACGATTTTATCATTGTGATATTTTTATTTTTGCATATCAAATATTAAGAAAATTGTAACTCTCGTCTGCAAATTGGAGGAGAGAGTTATCAATGATAATATTCCGACAGAGTATTTCCTTCTAGACCGGTTGCCACATCATTAAATCTTTGTATGGAAAGTTTAAAATAGTAACAAATTTTGATGATTAACTTTAAATCTATATCCACCCACATATATACACGCATGTACACATTATATATATATATATATGTTAAGAAATGGACAAGGTCAAACAATTTATTTATTAAAGACATCCCATACGGAACCGTCATATACGTAAATAACATTTGACGTAGAAATTTTCATAGAAAATATTCGGAAACAAAGAATAACGTCTACGAACCTTACGGTGACAACAAGGTCGAATTTACTGTTTATAAACTTCAATCTTCCATGAATCTGTATATTCATAACTGCTTTGGCGTATCGAATGTAAACAAATGACGTCATATATAAATTCGACCTGTTCACCGTAAGGTTCTTTTGGCCGAGACGGTTAAGGCGTCAGCGTATATGACGGTTCCGTATAGGGATGCAGGTTCGAATCCTGTCAAAGAACGAATATTTTCTATGAAAATTTTCGGACATTCAGGCTGGTAAATGTTATTTAATACTGTTTATCATAAACAGAGCATTTGCTTAAATACTTGTATCTAAAATAAAACGTTAAAACATAATAACGTTAAACATAATAATGTATTTAATATATATATATATATATATATATATATATATATATATATATATATATATATATATATATATATATAAACAAAAGGTAAACTATTATATAGCAATAAAGCGTTGCTGCCGACACTTGAGTTTGAACATAGAATAGATCGCCAGTGAGAAAACACAAGCGATCCCATTATTGAATTAAGTGGATCACGTGACCATAGAGGAAACGGTTATATAGGAAGTCACGCGTGATTTCCTATATATGCGTTTCGAGAAAGTACTATTACTGTGAGTGCTATTCGAAGGCGTCTGAACCAATATTGTTCAATGACGTTATATAGTTTTATCTGCGATTACAAAGTCTCTACTACAACGAGCATTACGAAAGTGACAACGAGTCTTCGTTGGGATCACAAAATAAACTTATCTTAACCGACGCGTTTCGTCCACTGAAGGACTTTATCAAGGTAAATGTAAAAATTTTAAAGTATTTATATACAAGAGCAAAACGTATATTTTTTTACAGAAATTTTGAGTTGCCCATGAATATTCATCAGGTTGCCACAGAAGGCTAGAGGACCCAGTCTGTCCTACTACATTATCCATAGCTGGGGAGAGAAGGGATGGATTCATACCTTTCCCAAGGGTACTAGCACGTAAGTGAATATAATGAATTCGACTGGAATTCGAACTCGGCTCTCTGAGCCGCTATTCATTAATCTTGCGATAAGCAATAAGAAAGTATAACAAGATAATCACATATGTTTTTAAGTTCCATGTCTCTTCAGGACGTAAGGCTATCCTGACTTTCCACAGATTAATTTTCATTATTTTCTGTGAATTTCCATTCCTTCTTGGGAAGAATAATGGACTGGCTCGCCGTTGCCAGTTTAGAATTCAGAGATTTTCTTTTCTTAGACTGGTTACAACCCAAGACTACATATCCCAGATTTCCCCGCTATTTAAGACACAGCTAATGGATTGATTTGTTTTATATGGCTTATCAAACCTTTGTGGGTTATTTAAAGCCGAAATATTTTGGGGATTGTAAGAATCATTTTTCATTTACGAATGAATATTACGTTAATATTTCTTGAGAATTACAATGATTTTTCAAGATATAATTCCTACTATTTAACCCATAGCTGACGGAGGAAATGGATTCATACATTTTCCAAAGATATTTGCGCATAAGTGAATATAAGAAACCCAACCGGAACTGGAATTCGGCTCTCCGATTAACAACACTGAGACATTATCCATTACACCGTCCAAACATCCAAACTTAAAGCACATGGTATGAACTCGGCTATCATTTCGGGCCGTTGATAGGAGAAGAAGCGGGTTTATTACTTTTCCAAATGTATCAGTGCGAAAATGAATGCAACAAACTAGCCTGGAATTTGAACTCGGATTGTTAGTTCCAATTATCGCACCGATGATCACATATTAGGTGAGTAATAAGAAATGTAGATATATTCTATTCTTGTATTTATATTAAAAATACAATAAAATCTTTATTAACCTTTATTAAACAGTCTTATAATCTACATTATTGTTTCCTGATACTTGAGCCTTTTGGTACAGACCAGTGCCTCAAAAGTGGCCACCGAATTGTAGCCACTTTCAGTCTTAACATGAAATGCATGTCAGTAACCTGAGACGGAAGTCGAGACTTGTTCAATTATTCACAGGCATATGTGCTTCGGAACATTAACTTAATCTTTGAAGCCGAATATTTAATCCTGTGATGAATTGAACTAAAATATTAATAAAATATGCCAACATCAACACTTGATAACTTGTTCCTTAACGAAAGAAGGTAAACTTGAGTTCAATTAATTCTAAGGGGAAATATTCTGGTATCATATTAACACGAACAGAGAATGGTTCATGAAAAGTAGAAAATCATTTCCAAGATTTCCAAAGTCTACAAACTCGGAAATCGGCACTTCGACGTGGTGATCAATTTCGACTGAATAGTGAGTTCAATCCTCATTGGGTGCCCCATACTTTCTGCCTTGCGCCACATCTAAGCTATGCTTAGAAAATCATCATGAAGTCGGAAATATTGACGTATCAATTTCCTCTGTTGATATGAAAATCATTTTGTTTGAAAAATGTGCAATGAAGTAATTGTAGCGAATCTTTTATTAAGTTTAGATAAATTCTTTACAATGATTTTTTTTTTTACAAAACTTTACTCAATATAAGGCTTGAGAGTTATTCAAGATAGAGTTACAGTCGAAATAATAATGAATGAGGTGTGAGATATGAATGGAAATGAAATTAGTAGGAAGTAGAGATTATGAGGAAAATGAGGATAGATAACGATTGACCTTTGACTTGAAAAGGTCAAGATTAAAATGTTCATGGGAGCACTCACGCTGTTGTGTTTTCCACGGAGTACCAATTCTCGGGAAAAAATCTGTTTGAAAGGAATTTCTTTCTTGCATTTAGAACACTGGGGAAATAAGGATGATTAGACCCCGTGCAAATAGCAATGTGTATCCTAACAGTAAATCTCCCAACTGGTGTATTGCCGTTATATCTCAGTTGGAGATGCCCAATACTCTCTTTCCAGCATTTATAGAATTCAAACGCGGTCAATGCGGCCTTGCGGGCGATGAATTAATTTCTACTCTATAACGTCTTTCTCACCGACGAAACATTGTAAGCCACTCGCTCACCTATCGCTATTTCTATGGTTCTAACGGGCTAAATTCAGTAACTCCACTAGTTCAAAGCTTCACAGCTAAGAACCTGCATGCCACGTACAGTCAGATGAATCATTACTATTTTCTTTGAATTGGTAAGGAGGAAGTTCCATTCAGGCAGCGTCTTCTCAAGTACAGTTACTTTACTTCAAAATTACTTCAGTTACTTCAGAATAAGCTCCCAAGAGGATGCTTTCCCAAGCGTTAAGATCTTAACCTCTCCAAGTTTAAGATCAATCATTATATATCCTCACAATCAGTACTTATTACCTCCTCCTCTTACATTCATACAACAACCGGATTCAGTAAATCACTACTTTGATTGGCTCTTGAGCCTTGTATTAGATTAATGTTTTTTACAAATATTGTGGGATTTGTTAAGTTATATGCCTAGCCTCATCAAGATTATTTATATTGTTTTTTCCATGAATTATGTAAGCTTTTGTAAAGTATCTCTGTTGTTGTGACTAGTTTTTATTTATTTAGTATGTTTGTTCCTAATTTTATTGTTTAAAACACGCCATGACACTTGAAGACACGATATTTTAAAAATGATGAAACTGACATGGCACAAAAAATGACGATGACTTATGAAAGCCGAGAGTACTCAGACATTGGACAATTTACCGGAAACCAGGAACATTTTTCGAAGTATAGAAAAAAATAAATTGAAAAATAAATCTTTTAACCACATTTGTACAAATGAAAGATTGCTGCCATGCATATATATATATATATATATATAGGTAAGAAAAATTTTCTTTAGAAAAATTCTGTACAAAAATTTATAGACTAAAATGAGGACTGGAAAAAAAGGCGTCTAATATTTAGTATAGTGTTATTTATTTATAATATATGAATTTTTACAGAGAAGAATTAAAACATTAAAATGAAAATCAAGGGGCGTAACTGGCTAAATATGTCGTTTATGTTAAGTGGAATTTGATTTTGACTTTTTTCATTCGTACAAAACATAAGTATCAACACGTGGAGATAGAAACAGTTAAAAACTTTTTGAAAAGCTAAGCGAAACCAGTTAAAGTAAAAAGTTTAATAAAAAGGAAAACAATTTATTTTTCTAAGAAAAAAAACCCACTGAAAATCAATTGTAGGTAACAAAGTTTTAATTTTCTCTGTAAAAATTCA